GCATGGCAATAGATTACCCATGGATTTCAATTTAAAATGTTTAATTAAAAGAATGATTTAGTCCTGTGATTTTAGTTGTAAGCACTAAGCTAATCTTACCTAAGCTTCTAAATAGTATAGGAATATTTTTTAAAAACTAAGCCTCACTATATCTATAAGTTTAATTAAATTTGAGTTATTAAAGTACTTCAGAAAGTCTGTTAGACAACTGAGGCAATTATAGAGAAAACAAAATATATTAAGTTTATAAATGCAGCTTAGCATGTTTAAGATTAACTATATTTTAAGCCCTTTAAAAGCAATCATGTCATAATCGTATATGTAAACTGCCTTGAAAACTTAGGGAAAAACTAAGTTTTTGAATTTGTAACTTTAACAAATCTAATATTATTTTTAGAAAGTAGTCCCTGAATAATTGTTTTTGTGTACAGAAGTCATCATCAAGGGCATCAAAAATGCAAAAGCCAAACTCCTCATTGATATGATATAATCCCAATTGCTGCACATGTTGAAAAATCAATAATGGCCTTTTTAGAAGATAAGACTCTTTTTTGATTCTCCTAATGATTACTGGAAACAACTGCAAGAAAAAACTCAAATTTTAAAATCACACCTGTTATAAGAAACATTTGTTAAATAAGTAACAGTTGTTAAACAATTTTTTTTTCCTTTTTGTCTTTTTTCGTGACCAGCAACGGGATCGCAACCCTCGGTGTTGCGTCCGCACCTCGCTCAGCCAGTGAGCGGCCGGTCTGTATGTGGGATCCGAACCCTCGACGGGAGCGCCGCCGCACTCCCAAGCGGCGCACTGTAGCAGTGCGCCACCGGGCCGGCCCGTTAAACGATGTTTTAAAATATATGAATGTGAACTAATAAACTACAAAAAGCAAACTATTTCTGAATAATTCCCTAAGGTTGGTAGATTCATTTTGCACATAACGATACACAATTATAGTTGATGTTGACAATAATGACATACAAGTACTATGTTAAAAATTCCCGAATCAAACAAAATGCTAAATAATGCTCATTCTACGTTATTAAGACAAGGAAAATAGATTAATAATATTTGATAAGAATGTAAAAACAATTTTTTTTTTCCTTTTTGTCTTTTTTCGTGACCGGTAACGGGATCGCAACCCTTGGTGTCGCGCCCGCACCGCGCTCAACCAGTGAGCGGACCGGTCTCTATATGGGATCCGAACCCTCGGCGGGAGTGCCGCTGCGCTCCCAAGCGCCGCACTCTACCAAGTGCGCCACTGGGCCAGCCCTGTAAAAACAATTTTAAAGTGTGAAATAAAATAATTTCTGCACATCAAAAAAAATGCAGCTAATCTAAATTCCCTTAGTATTCCGGTCAATTGATATTTTAAGTTACCAGTTCATGTTACTTGAGTAGTATAGCAATACCTATTGTTTTCAAAAATAAGCCAAAATAAACAGCTATAATCTAGTAGAAAATGGAAATGCAGAACAACCAAATAAACCAAAGATGGTAAGTTGCCAAAATCTCAATGTAATTAAAAAAGAAATCAGTAAGAAAAAGATAAATAGAAAAGATCCCAAATATTTGGAAATTATTTTATTTTATATATATATATTTTTTGTGTCCGGCAACGGATCACAACCCTCAGTGTCGCGCCCGTACCGGACCGGGACCGGCAACGGGATCGCAACCCTCGGTGCTGCGCCCGCACCTCGCTCAGCCAGTGAGCGGGAACCGGTCTGTATGTGGGATCCGAACCCTCGGCGGGAGCGCCGTCGCACTCCCAAGCGGTGCGCCACCGGGCCGGCCCAATATTTGGAAATTATACAATACACTTCTAAATAACCCACAGGTCAAAGAAGAAATCACAAAGGAAATTAGAGAATTAATGATAATGAAAATATAGCACATAAAAATTGTGCATAGAGGGAAACTTATAGCTTTAAATGTCTAAATTAGGAAGAGAAAAAAAAGATTTAAATTAATAATCTGAGATTCTACTTTAAGAAGCTAAAAATGATAAGCAAATTAAACTTAATTAAGTAGAAGAAAGGAAATATTAAAGATAAAAGTAGCAATCAATGAGAATACAAACAAACCATTAAGAAAATAAAGGCAAGCTACAGACTAAGAAAATATTCATAAGATATATATACACACATATATCTAAGAAAAAACTTGTATCCAGTATATAAAAAGAATTCATATACTGAAATAATAAAAAAGCACACAATTGAAAAAATGGGCAAAAGACTTCAAAAGAAAGTCTAGCCAAAAGGAAACACAAATTAAAACCACAAGACACTGCTACATACCCCTAGAATTTCTACAATTAAAAAGATAGAGAAAACCAAATGTTGGCAAGAATGCAGAGACAACTGTAATTCCCATACACTACTGGTGAGAATGTAAATCCTTGGAGAAAGGTTTGGCAATTTCTTACAAAGTTAAATGGATACCTATCCTCTGACTCACCAATTTTATTTTTAAGTATTTATCCAAGAAAATGAAAATATATGTCCACAAAAAGAGTTATAGAAGAATATGCATAGTAGCTTTATTCACAATATCTAAACACTGGAAACCATTCCACTGTCCATCAATAGGAGAATGGATAAAAAAACCTGTGGTGTATTCACACGATGGAATAGTTCTTAGTAATAAGGAGAAGCAAACTCTGATACACTCAAGAACATGAATAAATCTTAGAGATATATGGTAAGGTGAATACAAAAGAGTATATACTGATTCCATTAACACGAAATTCTAGAAATAATGTATTGTGACAAATATCAGAACAGTTGAGGGAAGGAATGATTGTGAAGGGAAACAGAGAAACCTTCTGAGTAGATGTTAAAGTTCTATATCACAATAGAGGTGTGAGTTACATGAATGTAATTATTTATCAAAACTGTACAGATAAAACTGTTTTATTTCAATGTATATAAATTTTATATTAAAAAGACCATAAAAATAAATGGGAATAGGGAGTGGGTTGAGGTATAGATAAAACAAGAATTATCGCTAATAACTGAAGCTGGGTGATGAGTACATGGGGGGTCAGTATATTATACTATTTACATTCTATATGTTTGAAATCTTCCAGAATGAAAATTTAAAAAGAAAGGGAGCAGAATAATTTCAGTCTTTTTAATTAAACAAAAAATAGGACAATCATTTACTATCTGAATTAAAATAGGCAATCACCTAAATATGGCTATTTTACATTAACAAAATTTAATTGGATTGTTAAATTTAAGTGGGGCAATCTGTAACTTCCCATGCTATGTTTGGGTCTTTGACCAATGATTACTGTTCATATATATTAATTTATGAAAGTTATAGGCTTTAGTATTTTTAATTTGCAAGCATACAAAACACTTTTATTTTAATTTCCTGGTGACCTAAAAGTTATCTGGCTTAGTGTTAAGTTTAATAGTTTCCAGAAATATTGCCTACTCTTATATAGCCAAAAGGATTTCTTTAAATCAGATTTGTTGCTTTTGAATAATTTGTAGAAAAAAAAGTCCACTCATGGTGTAAAAATACAGTAGGATCTCTCTTTTTTTTTTTCCTTTTTGTCTTTTTTCGTGACCGGCAACGGATCGCAACCCTCAGTGTCGCGCCCGTACCGGACCGGGACCGGCTACGGGATCGCAACCCTTGGTGTTGCTCCCGCACCTCGCTCAGCCAGTGAGCGGCCGGTCTGTATGTGGGATCCGAACCCTCGGCGGGAGCGCCGCCGCACTTCCCAAGCGGCGCACTGTAGCAGTGCACCACCGGGCCAGCCCCCAGTAGGATCTCTTTAACTCCTATTTCTACTCTACTCAATTCTCACTACATGGCAAATTAAATTGAATTTTTCATTTGTACAGTATGTTTAAACAGGAAGTGTAAACAACATTTGCAGTGAAGCTCTTCTGCTATCAAGTGAAGATTCCATCTTAGTATTTCCAAATTTCTGACTTGAATGTTATGATGTGAAAAATTTCCCCATCATGTTTTTAGGTCCTTCTAACACCACAATCAATACCAGCTCATTTTTACACTCCTCAACCAATTACTGTTCATTCAGATGGTGTGTAAGTTTTACTGTTAAAAAGGTTATCATGCAAATTTCATATTGATTATTTGAACTAATGGAGAACAGCAGTAAAAAATTACAGCTTTGCAATATATAACTTTTTTATCTGTATAAATTAATATTGTTAGTATAGTGCCTAGCAAGAACTAAAGCAAATAAAAGGTGACTATTAACTACTTATCTATTGGTTTCCTAAGGATACATTAACTGATGTTGCTAGCTCTGTATTGAGTTAGATGATCATACTGATTTAAAAAAAAAAAATAAAAGCTTCATGTATTCCATCAAGAAACGAAAAAGTTTATAGGATTTGGGGCTGAGAGTGGTCCCAGAAATCAAACCTTAATCCTTTTATTTTACAGATGAGGAAATAATCTCAGAAAAGTTAAAGTGTGATTAAAGGCGGTGAATAGCAGAATTAGAATTAAAATTAAAACACGTCTCCTGATTCCTAATCTATAGCTCATCCCTTGAAACAACACCAATTTCTTAGCATCTGAAGCGCAACAGAAAATATATGTATCATGTGTGATGTGCGCTAATTTGTATACTATTCCAGATTTCTCTTCAATAATGTTTAAAACCACTCATTACATCAGCACTGCCTTCAGATAATTACAGCTGTAGTACCCTTACACTCCACCAGGAGGAGAAAGAGTTTGTTTAAAAAGCCACAGCCAAACACCAGACAAACCACAAATGACAAGAATTACAACTTGACTTCCAATTCACCTGTTTATTTTAAAGTACCACTAACTAGTCACTTTGCTAATGGGAGCTTTCCTTTTCCAATTTTTCTGATCCTTCTATAGTACAATGTAGTCCATAACTTTATCAAATGTGATCTAAACTGTGCATTTGAAGCAGGCTTTAAAGGAAAAAACATTCAAAACAGGCTTGAGAAATGTACAGAAGAAAATTCTTGCTCACCATTTTTGCTTCTGACTGTACTGGTTGAGGGGAGGAAGGACCTGGGATTCCTGGAACATTAGGCACCATGGTGACTGGTCGAACGAGCTATGCAAAAGATATTTAAAAATAATTGCTAGATAATACATTCAAAATGAGATTTGTACTTTATTTGCACATTGGTTGTTAATTTGAGACTTTAAAATCAGAAAATTGTAAATTTATCTCCAGCTGATTGTATCTCTACACCAAACACCCCTCTTGGTCTTACATCCTGACTTATCCTTCAAAAGTTGTCAGTTTCCCTGAGATATGTGCTTCCCTAATCTTCAATTTTTATAATTTCTTTCTTAATAGTTCCTTCTTTTAGAACTCAAAATATTCAATGTGATTGATGCAAAATTTCTCACAGATTTGCCACACTTCCATTTTGAATTTGAAAGATAAGAACATCAAAACTTGTGACTAGGCATAAAAAATAATTTCGACAATGAACTTTGCTTTTCTAAAATATATATATAAACTTTCTGAAATACATAAAAGTTCTCTGATATATTAATACACTGCATAATGACAAAAAGATGACAACCTCTAGTAATTTCTCAAATAATAATAATCTGGAATAGATTTTACCATTTTGTTTTTTGTCTTTTTTACAAAACCTAATACTGAGTGAACAGGTATTGTATAAAGTATATCTCTTTTTTAATTTCAAGTTGCTTTCATCACAGGTACATTTAACAGAACAACTATATAATCTCAAATACACAGTGAGAGTCTTTTCAGCCCTCAAAAATATCCTCAGAAAAGAGGAAGTAGACACCTTATATGTGAATTCTTACAAAGTCTCTCAAATAATGCATTTTTTTTTTTTTTTGTCTTTTTCCGTGTCCGGCAACGGATCGCAACCCTCAGTGTCGCCCCCGCACCAGACCGGGACCGGCAACGGGATCGCAACCCTCAGTGTTGCCCCCGCGCCTCGCTCAGCCAGTG